TATTGCAAAGGTGGCCGATGAATACGAGTCAGCTGCTGTCAGAAAACCAGTTTGAAAACTGGTTGGGACATCACCTGTCACCATTGAAGAGGGAAAGCTTCAACTTACTGAGATGGGTTCGTCTCCACACTTGAAGATCATAACACACCAACTGCAGTCTATACACGATGTCCACAACGATCTTAAGCTGTCAATGGAGGGCGCTCGTCATTCTATTTTCTATATCCCTGCCCAATTAAATGTACTTAGTACAGCAAATCTAGGTACATGAATGCCATTTTTAAAATTGTAAATCATCCGTTCATGCATCTTTTATCAATCAACGCGTTTGTTAAAGCTGAAAACGATAATGCAAAACAAGTGCTATTATTGGTTTCATCCTTGAAAGCAGTGAAGACATCACTCACCACAATGACGTAAAGACATTTCTTATGGACTTTGAAATTGGCATGTAGAGTCTGCAGTACAACGTTTCGTGGTGCCAACATTCAAGGCTGCTGTTTTCAGTTATCACTTTTCTGGAGAACAGTCAAGTCTCTTGAATTACAACCACAATATATAGAAAAAGTGTATTTGCCAGCTCATAGCATTGGCCATTACTGCCACAAGAGCATATCAAGGACACATTCGTTGTCAGGGGGATTCACATGGCCACCATCGACCTGGTGCTTTTACTGGAAAAAATACCTTAAATCTGTACTACATACTCTCATACACAGCGTCATGCATCCATATATAGATAAAGTTTGATTGCGAGCTCAAACTTCAAAGGTATCAAAGGAAGGCATATCAAAGTATCCCGTGCAATTTATTTGGCAGTATGCAAGTATGAATACAATGAGATGTCAAGCACCAGATTCCTGGCGGAATGCAGTAAAATTTATGACCTCAAATCTTAAATACTTGTATTCAATACACAAACAAGACGTCCCTTCTAAGGACCACAACATCCTCCAAGATGTACCATACCAACCAAACATGTTATTTACTCCGCAGTAAAGTTTATTGTTCAAAACTAAAAATACAAATCACTACGTAAAAATCATGTGAATTGTATGAACAAATTATTCTAAAGTCTATATTTGTTTTATTTTAAACAATACAAATAATTGATTACAAATCTTGAAAAAAAATACACACTATAATTCATGTGAAATTCATTTATGTAACCTTTCCTGAATAACTTATTTTATAAACACATGTGACGTGAATGTTTTAAAAGACACTAATTCTGACAGAGAGGTACATTGTTAACACGATGAACTGTTTCAGTTGTATTAAAAAAATCAATATCTTCGCAAATAAAGACATCCGTTCCAAATAAAACCAATACATGCTCGTGCAAACGTGTGCACTAATGCAGAGAAGTAAATGTAAAGCCTAAATCGTCTCTCATCATGAAACACAAACCTGATGGCACGTCATTGAACAATTATTAAAACCAAATTGATCTGCACAGATTTGCTTCGTGCTAAGTTGTCCTGTATAACTCAATGTTGTAGAGGATGAAGATTTAGTTAAGTAGTTATGTTATATTGTATACATTTGTAAAACCAACAAAAATCATGATACCCATATAGCTGACGTTTTTCCAATAATAACTGTAAAGTTGACGATCAGTAATATAAATATTTGTAGACAGTTGAGCTATTCCATTTAACTTAGTTAAATATTGTTTTTTATCAACGGACAAGCGTAATGTGTTATTGACGACACCATGCAATTTCTCAGGAATAGTCTTTTGACAACTGAACAGAATAAAATGATTTGGACTGACGGATTTACTTGGCAATGTTTAAAATTGGGATTGCAAAAATTATCGAATTCTTAATTAGACACTGGTCTCCCAAAATCATGTTCACGTTTGAACATTCATTTAAAAATCTGTTGAAAATGGGTTATGAACTACCAGACTAGAAAGATTAGCACTGAGTCTAGTGTGCCTCGCCAGTCACTGGTGGATAACTTGAAGTGTGAAGTAAAAATTGTTTGCCCTCAGCGACCGACCGAAAAATATGAAATATCGGGTCGCGTTTGTTTTCCCATATACCTCGGCTATTTACGATACCCTTAGTTTTCACGAGTTAAAAACAAATCCGACCGACCGACGTAATTTTTTTTTTAATTTTTTTTCCGACTTGAGGGCAACACAAGTTGTTGTTTTTTTGGCCTTACGGTGAAGCCATTAAAGTTCACCAACAAGTATATTTTACCACACGTGTAAGCATCATCGCAGAAGGAGACTGGCAGATAAGAAAGATGGGCGTTTGGTATGGTAGACGGGTTTTTAAAACGATCTATATGCAGGTCGTCGAACGTCGTGCTCCACTCTTCCCAATAAATCAAGACAAGGTTGTTTGTAGGACCACCATTCATTTGGACAAATGTGTATCCCACCAACAGCGAGCACACGATGGTTGTCATTCTCATAACTAACAAAAGTAAATTGTATACATTTACCAACGCTAAACGTACTCTTGTTGTGTCCGTAATAAACTACGCCGTCAGAAGACACTAGGTAGATATTACCTGGGACATAAATCCTCAAAAAAAACGAACCTTCGTCAATTTGGTAAACCCTTATTACCTAACCATCAAAGTATAGTTACACTCATAAGTGCTGGAGAACGATTTGAAACGAACAAACATGCCGTTAAAGCATTACCAATTAGAATAAAACTAACAGAAAATACAATTGAATCAACGAAGAATAACGTATTTCCCTTGACGCAAGAAGGGGTTCACCAGACTAAACTGTGCAATCATATTGATGAATCATATGCCCTCTTACCGTTCGAGATACAAAACGTCAAAAACGCGAGAGTGATTTAGAACGCAGTCCACATCAAGCAACCCACCAGTTTATAATAATGACGGACATCCTACCGGAACTCGGTAGAGCCGACAACCCAGTTCTTCGTCAATCTCTATTGCATGAACAAAAATAGTTTGATGTGATGCAAGATTTGATCAAGGAAAATAAAGCAGATTTGCAGATTTGAAAAATCCGAAATAAGAACAAGTTGCAACAAAAGTCACAGCTTCCACTGTTCCAAAGTTAGATAATCTACCAATCTACCAACGATATTCAACCAAACCGTATAATGTATCGTTCATTCTGGTTATTATGCAACGACACTCGCCGATTGATGTCGAGTCTTATTTAGATCGAGCGGGGAAGATTGATGTATGTCAAAAACAGTACGATAATCTCGTCTACCCTGGGCGAGAGAAATTACATAAGCGAGAACAT